GATGCGCTCACCGTGGCAGTGCGGGCATGCCAGCGCTCGCGATTGGACCGCCTGCACCACCTGGGCCGCGTCGCCCGCCGCCTGCAGCGCTTGCATCAAGACATGCTTCTGCGCGGTAGGCAGCTTCGCTGCCTCAGCCAGCAGTCTTCTGAGTTCTCGGGTGCGCATGACCGGCTCCTTGAGGCCCCAACGGTTCGGGGCGCACGGGTCAATGTCTCAGCTCGCTGGCTCACCAGATGAGCCATCCTCAATCAATGCGCAAAGAGCCTAAAAAAAGGGCACCCGAAGGTGCCCTTTCTGCTTGGCGCCGAGGCGCTTTTGCTTAGTACGTGTTGGCGCCGTACGGACGCTCCAGGGGGATGTAGCCAGCAGCAGCGCCGTTGATGGCTTGCTGGTACACACCCTTGACCGCGCCGATGTTGGCGTTGATCGTGAAGGTGATCGAACCACGCTTGCCAGCGCTGAACGTGCAGATGTCTGCGGCGTTCAGGGCGGTCGTACCGACAGCCAGCTTGCCCGACTTGGCGGTGCCGTAGGTCACGGTCAGGCCGCTTTCGGCTTGGCAGGTCGCCGAGTAGTCAGCTTGCTGCGAACCCGTGTTCTGGAAGAAGAAGCGGGTCAGGTTGCCGTTGGTGTTGTCGTTGTTGAAGAACGCCGAACGCAGCTCGATGCCGTTCGCGCCCCACACCCACCAGCTGCTGTTGCCAGCCAGGGTCTGCGCGCCCACGCCAGCCAGCGTCGGGTTGGCGACAGCCGAGACGCCGAACGTGCGCGACGTGCCCAGGGACTGGGTCACAGCGCTGTTCAGGCTGACCTTGACGTTGGTCGAACCGTTCTGGGTCAGGTTGGCAGCGTTCACGGTGAACACAGCGGTACCGGCCGTGGCGTTCACGGTGACGGCAGGAGCGGTGCTCAGCGGAGCGGTCGTGGTCACGTTCACGGAGCTGTTGCCAGCGCCGTTGAAGCTCGTGATCAGGCCGCTGAAGTCGCCAGCGATCGTCACGACGACGTTCGTCAGCATGCTGTTGGCCGTCACGGCAACGCCGGAAGCGTTCAGGAAGTTGCCATCGACACCGATGCTGAAGTTGGCGCTGGCGTTGGTGGTCGTGTCGTCGTTGGCAGCAACGAAACCGAACAGGGGCTGGTTGCCGCTGTTGAAGTTCACGTCGGCCTTCGTGCCGGTGTCTTGCGTGGCGGTCAGCGACAGAGCGCGGCCCGACGTAGCGACGGTGGCGGTCACGTCGTTCGAGTTGTCGACGCGAGCGGTTTCACCCGTGTCATACAGAGCGACGTTCAGCTTCTCGGTGGCGCCAACGGTGGCCAGGCCATGACCGTTGATCGACAGGCCGGAGAAGGTGATGGTGTCGTTGACGGCGACGTTGGTCGTCACGTTCACGTCCCACACGCACTCGGTAGCCGAGGTGCGCTTCACGGTGATGTTGGCAGCGCCAGCACCACCCAGGACGGGCAGCGTGCTGCCGCAAACCAGGGTCGTCGTGGCGCCAGCAGGCTCACGGACGATGATGGTGAACGGCTGGGACACCACACGAGCGACGCCCATCGTGTAGACGACGTTAGCCAGCGTGATGGGGCTGCTGGCGGTGATGGCTTCGACAGCGTACTTGGACGTCGTCGAGGACACCGAGCCTGCTTGAGCACCAGCACCACAAACCGCAGCGGTCGCGACGGCCAGGGCCTTGTAGGTGAAGTTCTTCATTAAATGAGCCTTCCGGATCGTTGTTGCAACAAATTAACCGAACACAAGCGAAGCTGAACACTCAGCACACCGCATTGGGTCGATTGCCATGCCCGTCACCGGACCATCGCAGCCACCAACGCGGCGACCACTGCGTCGACACAAAGCGCTCATGCTTCGCCTCCCCTACTATGACTGGCATGGCTCAGCACCGTCCAGCTCAGCAGGTTGCCCGGCAGCATAGCAGACGATCTGACGGGTTTGTCCGTTCAGCCACGGTACAGGCTCGGGGTTTGCCCGAGATGCGTTGCTTGTTCACATCAGTGCTTCGAGCTTGACCTGCGACAAGGCCCTCGCGCGGGACACGCGCGCCACCCGCGCGCTTCGACAAACCGCACGCAATCTTCGCAGACCGGGCAAATCCGGGCACGACCTCTAGAATGGCCGGCTGCTTCATAAGGATTGATCCGACCGCCGGATCCCTTTGCCTCTTTCCGACATGCCATGGCCGCGTTTTGCGCGCCACGGGCATTGCTTCTTCGCGACATGACCACTTCCACGCCCTTCCAGGTCGACGAGACCCTCGACAAACTCGAACGCGCCGTCTTTCAGCGTCAGACGCGAGAAGGCGTTACCCTGCTGCTGCAGTTGCTCAGCCACGTGGCCCAGGCCCGCGACCCCTTCGGCATCCTGCCGCACGGCAGCACCGCCGAGCAGCGGCGCGCCGCCTACACCCGTATTGCCGCGATGATTTCCGCGCTGCTGTGCAGCCCGGATTTCCAGATCGATCTGGGGCAGATTGAGTTTCTCGCCGGCCGCAAACCCGTGCTCGAGGCTTTCTTCGAGCTCAGCGGGTATGAAGGGCCGTTTCATCTGCTCCGTTACAACGGTATTCGCAACCCGAACGGCAGCCTGACGCTGCGGCCGAATCAGGTTTTCGTGCTGTCGCTGTTCTATTCGCTGGACGCCATGCCGCCGGAACTGATGTCGGGTGTGCTGAAACTGCCGCCGGACCAGTTGTTGCCGCTGATGCTCGGTTGGTTTACGGCACCGTTCGTGCACGCCGCGCACGGCGAGGCCAATCGCGGCCTGCTGCTCGACCATGCCGATCTCGTCGCGAATGCCATCCCCACGCAGGGCATCGTGCAGGCCATGACGTCCGCCTGGATGCATTGCAGCTATGCCGACCACGGCCACAAGCACAAGCTGAAGGCGGCACTGAATGAAGTCTGGAAACGCCTCGACAAGGCCGGCGGACTGAAGTCCCGCAGCGTGCCCTACAAGGTCGTGGAGCGGCCCACCATCCTCGTCGCTGCCGAACGGATGTCGGTTGGCCACGCCATGTACCGCAGCTACGCGGCTTGCATCCGCCAGCTCAAGTCCCGCTACCGCGTCGTGGGCATGGCGGTGCGCGGCTTCATCTCG